GGAAGAGCTGGCAGAACTGCTCCACCTCATCCCAGCATGATGTGGAAACCAAAACAGACATCTCACATTTTCCCAACAGGCCCCAGGCAAAATCTGGGACTATGAACTTCAAAGGAAGGGCAGAACTTCCTCGGCCTCAAGCAGGATGACTACACCGAGTCCCTGCTTCCCAGGGTGGCCTCAGTCTGAGGCCATGGAGAGAACGTGAAGCCAGGTTCTGCAGTTGGTCATGCACGTCCCTGCCAGCAGCCACAACACAACAGGCAGCTGGGATGCAGGGGTCACCCTGACTCCACCAACCTGGAAAGTACTGACATGGGAATGGACCAATGCACAGACCTCCAAAGAGAAAATTGTATGGACGCTTTTATACACATACACAAATATTTTAATAACTGAAATGTTATCCATATTCTTAGTACTGTCATAATTAACTAAAAAGATATTTTTTTAAATTTTGTAAAAATGACATATTTTACACATCTTCTATTTACAATTGCAATATACTTAAATGTTATAAAACATCCACTCTGACCTTTAAAATATATGCATACTAGCACTTAGTATTAGATATACTATAATTTATAGCAAACTTAGGGTTTGCTGTGTACCTATCTGTTCAATGGGAATTTCATAATCAGCCTGGCTTAATAAAGGCTGCTTAAAAAAAAAAAAAGGGTAAGGAATGTGCAAATATTGGGGCAGGCAAAAAAAAAATCAAGCTTGGAGTTTTAAAAAATAACACCATGAAGACTTCCAATAAATTAAAATCATAACCCACAGATCCTTTGCCTGGCATTGTCCATGGTTGAATTAAGTTTCAGTACTATTAACCCGAAAGGATAAAAAACCAAACCAAACCAAATCAAAATGAAGATTGAACAACAAAAACCCCCCAGCGAGTCCAGGTCTTCCCCACGCCGCAGTCAAGCATCAGGATTTGCTGGGGCGGTTGCTGCTGGCACGGATGAGCTGGCTCTATTGATGACTCGTGAATAAGTGCGCTCCATTCCTTGCTGCTTTGCTGAGTCCTCCTTGTATGCAATCTTTTCGTAAGAGAAGGAAAATATATGCAACAGTGAGAGAGATCTGAATAGTTTGGTGTCTGAAGTGTTCATTGTCTAACCAAGGATTTCCCATTTTTTGTTAATTACACAATGATGCCAAGGATCTGGCAGAGGAAAAGGACCTTTGCCTGAGGACCCAGAAGCAACCGGAGGCTGCAGCAAGCTGGAGGAATAAATGGGGCTGGGAAGGGTCACCAGCTTCTGCCACGTGGAGCTTCGTGGGGTTCCCTGAGCTGTGTTTCTGTAACAGTCCTCATACAAACACAACTGAGAAGTCACCTACGTTGTATAAACTCAGCAGACACCTGCACAAGCACTTACTGACCATGGCACAGACTGCCCCCAGCTCTGCCCAATTCAGGCTGAGGCTGTGGGCAGAGCTGCACCCTTCGGCAAGGGCAGTGGGAAAAGCTTGCGCTGCCCTGTCCTACATGTAGGCTCACGGGACAAGGGAGACTTCTACCCTTGCTCCTGGCCCTCCATCTGGCCACTTTTGCTACTACTGGCACATGCTTTTGGCTCTTGTCAAGCTGCCCAACTGCCCCAAGTTCATGACTAGCATCCTAAAGAACAAGCGTCTCAACGCTGCTCATAGACAATAAACCACACATGCACCTTGTCTTTTTTATTTTTAAACTCCCTGAGCAAGACAGTCATTAGACATGAAACTAAACAAACATATCAAGAAAAAAACAGCAAGTGAGAGAAGTACGTGACAGTAAAAGAAAAAATAGATGTAAGAAAAATGAACATACCACTTTTGGCTATAGTATTGAGGGAAATGTTAGACAGGGAAGAAGAGAAGCTGTATAAGCAACGACCATGACAGAGCTGTCAGAAAAGAAAAACAACAACAAAAAAAGAACAAAAAAGAGAAAAACATATCGTGATGAAAAAGTCACTGTAAGTGTGTGAGCAAACACAACCTTCTTGAATATGACAATGGGAAAGATGGCAGATCTTACTGGTGTCAAGCACACAGCACAGTTACAACAGAGCCTCAAGCTTTCCAACTCAGATAAACGTTTCAGCCACAATTTACAGCACGTGATTTCTCTGAGGCAACACTC